AGAAACAGTTTTAAAGCTGGGCTCCACACAATCAGAATCAAAAGAAAATGGGCAACGTGTTGGGCAGAGACGTCAGGGTTCGAATTTCCTCAACCCACGGGACCTTTCTGGGCTGCCTTTGCTGTAACCCATTATCCCTCAAAGGGAAAGGTGAACTTACCTACAACCTGGATGATCTGGGCCAGGAGCACTCCATCGGTCACATCTTGCTGGAGGTCCTTGATGAGGCGTTTGTGGCCGGATTTAGCGAGGTAATGATTGGCCCAATCCGTGTAGATCTACAAAGAAAGCACATAGGCAACTTCAGGAATCTGGGCAGAGCCCCCTGCAGGGTCAGAGGCAACTGCTGGGACCTATGCTTGGGTGCCACAGTCACTTTCCTGCTGGCAAACTCCGGAGCTGCCAGAGCCATTAATATTCAGTGCATTGTGCGGGCTAGGCATTCAGCTAGCTGTAACGGTCCTGTCTATTGAGAAAGCTGTGTCAGAGTCTAGAGAAAAGCTAAAAAGAGCGTCAAAACATGCAGAGGCCTGAATAGGCCAGAGGACAAGGAACTAATAGTTTGTCCAGATGGCTTTGAGACACTGCAGCTCTGAACACAAGTGAGGCTCTCCCAGCCCGCCACAGCCTTTCCACTTTATGGAGAAAACGTATGGGGAGTTTACCACCTAATAGGCATCTTTGGATGGACCATTTAAGGCAAGGAGGGCTATTGAGTGAGCAGAGTTTTCAAGAGCCTGGCTCCCTCATAAAGCAGCCAGGAGGGAAACAAAGCCATCACACACGTGGAAGTAGAGCTAACTATGGCCTCACCATCGCTGAAGATTTAACTGGGTTAATTGAAAGCCAGCCACTGTTTTCACTGTCAAGGCTCTACAAATAGGGGGCTGGTGAGATGGTTCAGTGATTAAAAACAATGGTTGCTCTTCCAGAGGTCCTGAGTTAAATTCCCAGCAACCACATGATGGCTCACAATCATCTATAGTGGGATCTGATGCTTTCTTCTGTTATGCAGGTATACATGCAAATAGAGCACTCACATATACAAAATAAATAAATAAATAAATCTTAAAAAAGAAAGCTTCTACAAATAAAACCTAGCCAATTCCAGTATCTGCTGTGGGACCTCTTTCCCTAGAGAGACAAATGTCAAACCTTATAAAGAGCAGCTACAGAAGGATGATTGTATCAAGGTCTAACATGGGGAACTGATGAATTTATTTCTTACTAAGAGAGTACTGGTGACCTCAAAGCTGCCACAACTCTGAAAAGGCTCTTCCCAGCATGATGACCACTTGCTGCAAAGATGGCCTCTCTTTCAATTAACCTTCTGGAGACTGTATACATTAGCACCTCCCTTGGTCCAGGGCCCACAGGAAAATAGAAGCAGAATTCTATACAACTGGCCTACACAAGGTATAGAGTGGGAACAGCTGAAATCTCAGGGGAGGGTCCAAAGATCCTCTCCACTCACTCCTTCTAAGGGCAAATGCCTGGCAAGCAGTAGCACTGGTCTTGTGGGTCTCTTGTGAGTGAGTAGTCAGTCACAGGCTTCTCTGAAGAGGAACATGGCTGCTGTGCCCAGGGGAGCACTCTACATCTTTAAATACATCAGTGTTCATAGCAGCCCAGAAGGCAGAAGCTGGGTGATCCATGTGGGGGACCAGATTCCTTGGGGAGCTCAGCATACCTGCCCTTCTACATCATAGACTCATTAGAGCAAAAGATTATTTCCTTCTAAGTGGGGAAGCAAAGAAAACTCACTCAAACCCAGGAAAGTCCTCCCTACCTCCAAACATTCCCTGTTGATTTAGAGAGAGGGCTATGTTTGTTTCTGAGCCTGTGGGAATGTGGTTTGGGGGATGGGCACACCTTTCTCAGTGACATGAATGACTACTCAAAAAAAAAAAAAAAAAAAGAACACCACCACCACCTCAATTGGTCAGAAGCAGTAAGTTTACATCCAAAACTTCTAATGCCTTTTCCCTCTACCAGTGGACCTCCCCAAGAATTCACAAAGACCACAGAGCAGAACTTCAGCTGGTCCTGCCCTCTGCCCTCTATCCTTTGTCTGAAGGAGTCTTTCTTTGTTGGGGGCGCTAGGGGAAACTGGGGTACAACCTTTGTGGATAGGCAACATTTCCAGCTGCTTAACCTGGGAGCAGTGAGACCCTCATCCCCAGAAGTGACAAGACTGCGCACTCTGGTTCAGAGGTAAGAGAAGCCACTTGTTCCTCTACTGATCAATAAACACTCCAACTTCCATTATGAAGACCCATATGCAGCCTAGATGCTCATGGGAACTTCTTTCTTAATAGCCTGGGTACCAGATCTTACAACCATGTTCAACTCCTCCCCAGACTCACATTTTTACTTTCTTGGTTTTTTTGTTTTGAGTTAGTTCTTACATAGCTAAGGCTGGACTTGAACTGTCTATGTAGCCGAGGATGACCTGGAACTTCTGATCCTCCTGCCTCCACTAGCTCAGTGGTGAGATGGCAAGTGTGCACCACCATTCGGGGTGTTATATGGTTCTGGGGAGCAAAGCCAGGGCTTCATACATGCTAGGCAAGCCCTCAGCCACTTCAGTTCTACAGCTCATCCTCAATTCGTATAACTCAATCCAATAAATTCAGAGAAAGCTAAGGGATTGAAATATCATAGAGGCGGTTAAGACGGGCAAACTGAAATTTAGGCAGTTAATAAATGAAATTATTCAGAGGGAGAGATGAAAGAAGAACGCTAAAAAGAAAGGAGGCAGACCCAAGTTCAAGTCTCAGTCCTGAAGGCAGTGCCAAGGAAGAGACCTGGGTGTGTCTAACTCAATGGTAGTTAACAAACTAACTCAGGCTAGTACCTCAACACACAGTACATCACAGCTTCTCAGAGTGGATGAACGGAAAACTGGATGAGAGCCGAGAGCCACCAAACCCATCTGAGAACATTGCTTATCTGAGAGATGAAACCTGCATGTATGTTTCTTGGCTATGATGATAGTGAACCAGCCAATGCATCTGAAGGCAAGTTCTTTTTTTTTTTTTTTTAATCTTTGAGACAGAGTTTCTCTAAATCGCCCTGGGTATCCTGGAACTCACTATGCAGACCAGGCTTGCCTTGAACTCACAGAGATCCACCTGCCTCTGTCTCTCAAGTGCTGGTATTAAAGGAGTGTATCATGATGCCCAGCCGAGGGCAGGTTCTTAACCCAAAACTGGACTTTAACCAATATCAACCAGGACAATGCAGTACCCGCTGCACTTGGAGCCTCCCCTAACCATGCTAAATATATGAACTCATCCTTATCATTGCGGTGGTCACGTGTCAGCAGAGAAAACAGTTAGTTGTGTAGACGGACAAAATACTTCATCCAATGCCACACTAAGTGGCAAAGCGAGGAGGGGAGCCCAAGCTGAGTTTTCTAGATTTCCAACACATTTTTCAACATTGCTTCTCTGAATAAAGTCTATATGTTAGGTTACTCACCCACCCCATGATATCCTATAGGCTCATTTCTCTGGTTGGTTATGCTGAAAGAATTCAAATGTAAAGAAAGATCAAGACCCTCCTTGTTATCAACACCCACCTCGTTATCTGAATGCCATTGGGTAAATCACCCACTAAGTACGTCACCCAACCTTTCTGGGCTTCCTTCTGTTTATTTACCAGAATTGAAACCTTGAACTGGATTCAAGATAAATCCTTTTTCTATGTTCATTTTTCTCAAGTGTTTTGTCATAGTGATGGAAAGCTGACCTGCACATTTGCCAGCCAAGGACAGTGCCCATAGGAATCTCTCAAAACCCTGAGGCATCTCACCAGCCATGTGGGAAGGACCATCGTAACACACAGAAATGTAAAGCTGTGTGCCCAAGGACCCAGCTGAGTGAGAAAAGGAACTCAGTCAGCACTCTGGAAGGTGACCCACTTTTGTCCCTCCCTAGGTAGCTACTGTACTTCAAAGTAGGCATGCTGTTTACACATTCCAGATGGAAGCCAGGATTAAGCCACCATCTTCTCAGGAGTGTATACACATCCATGCACATACACATGCATATACTCTTCCCAAAATGACCTTCACCCTCAAAGGGTGGGAGGCAGTGTATGACAAGAGGCACAACACAAACCAGTGGAATCTGACCAAGTGGCCTCTGGCTCCAGGCAAGTTAATTTCTAATAATATTCCATGCCTTGGTGTCTTAGTTCTTTCTCTATCACTGTGAAGAGACAGCATAACCAAGGCTTGTTACAGAAGAATTTAATTGGAGGGTTGATTACAGTTTCAGAGGGTGAGTCCACAACCACAGTAGTGAGGATCATGGCAGTAGGCAGGCAGCTCTGGCACAGGACCAGTAACTGAGGGCTCAGCATGATCTTATGAAACCTCGAAGCCCAACCCCAGTGACACACCTCCTCCAACAAGGCCACACATCCCTCCCTCCCCTCCCCCCTTCCTCTTTCTGTCTTCAGACACACCAGAAAAGGGCATCAGATCCCATTACAGACGATTGTGAGCAGCCATGTAGTTGCTGGGAATTGAACTCAGGACCTCTGGAAGAGCAGTCAGTGTTCTTAACCACTGTGCCATCTCTCCAGCCCCAAGGCCACATCTCTTAATCCTTCTCAAACCTAGTTTTCCTAACCTGGGGCCAAGCGTTCAAACATGAACCCCTATGGGCCATTCTCGTTCAGCCCACCACACTCAACCTCATCATCGATAATATGGGGACGATATCAAATACATTATAAGGTGGTTCTGGCAAGTTGTGGCCTGAACCAATGCCCACTGGGCACCTGTTTCTGTTAGTAAAGTTGGTGGGACACAGCCACATCCTTTTGTGGTCTCTGGCTGCTTTCATGCCACTAAAGCAATGCTGAACAGTTGTGACAGAAATCTTTGGCCCACAAGACCTCAAATATTTGAATCTGATTCTTCCAAAAAGTTTGCCAGTCTGTGCTCCAAAGAGCAAGTGTGACGACACACCCACACCACGCAAGCACTCAGCAGCAATCACTGTAATCCACCTCAGAAAAACTCACCAGCTCTCCTGTCTCTTCACTGCTGCTGCTGCTTGCCCCGCTTGGGGGCTGCCTGGCTCAACTCCAGGGCCTGCCCTTCCATGAAATCACTCTTCGTTTCCGGATCCAACCCTCGAGTTCCCACTACCAGATGTAAGCAACCGCCATATCTTGCCCAGTTTCTGGCACGTGGCAGGAGGCCATTATGTGCCTGCTGGGTCAAGCTGAAGGGAATGAGAACGAGTGCGATTGATTACCCATGAAAACCAAGGATGTGGGCTCTTGGTGAGTCTTCAAACCAGAATTTCAAACCAGAGGAAAGGTGGGGGTAGGGTGGAGGTGGGGGCCGGGGCTAGAGCAATGGCTCAGGGATTAAGAGCACTGGCTGCTCTTCCAGAGGATGGGATAGGGTTGTAGGGGGGCATTCAATTCCCAGCATCTACATAGTGATATTACAACTGCCACTCAACTCCAATTTCAGGGACTCCAACCTCCTCTTCTGGCCTCTGCAGGTACTGCATGCAAATGGTGCACACATATACCTGCAGCGAAACACACAGGCATTTTTTAAAAATGTCTTTTAAAGGAGAGTGGGAATAGTGGTTATTCTTGTCAACTTGACTATCTCTGGAATTAACTAAAACCCAAGTGACAGGGTACACCTGTGAGGGATTTTTCTAGACTGAATCTCTTGAAGTGGGAAGTCTGGCCTAAATCCAGATCTTTGATCCACCTTTAATCTGGGTCACACCTCCTGGTGGCAGCCTATACAAAGGACATGGAAGAAGGAAGGGCTCGCTCTTTGCCTGCTTGCCCTCACTCTCGTTGACAAGTTCATTCCCTCACTGGCATTACAGTCCTACGGTATACTGAAGACTGGCTGAGACATCCAGCCTTGTGGACGGAATGATGACTGAGTTCTTGGACTTTCCACTGGAGACAGACAGCCCTTATTGGAATAGTTGGACCATATCATGTAAGCCACTCTAATAAATGCCATTATGTATGTATGTATGTTTGTATGTATGTATGTATGTACAGGCTAATAGATTCGTTCTATCAGTTACCTTTCTCTAGAGAACCCTGACTAATACAGCAAAGAAATTAATTATCCCACTCAAGTATAATCATTAAGGCCATCTAACATGGATCCTTGATAATTGGGAATTTCCCTTCCTCTCCCATTCCCAGCTCTTGACTTAAAAGATATAAACCACACAAAACCATTCAGGTTTATTTTTAAAGTCAGGGCCACAGGCCATGGTAAGTGTAGCCATAAACTCAATCTCGTATCCTTTCTGTGATGTTTTGGTCAATCACATAAGTTAACACAGGCTTCCAAGGAACACTGTGCTGGCTGGCTACTTCTTATGGCAACTTGACACAGATGGAGTCATCCGAGAAGAGGGGACCTCAACTGAGAAAATGCATCTATAGGATCTGGCTGTAGACAGCCAAGCCTGCAGAGACTTTTCTTAACTAGTGATTGAAGTGGGAGGACCCAGTCCACTGGGGATGGGGACATCCTGGGGTGGTGGTCCTGGGTTCTATAAGAAAGCAGGTTGAGCAAGCCATGGGAAGCAAGCCAGTAAACAGCACCTTTTCTGTCTTGTTTGAATTCCTGCCCTAACTTCCTTCAACAGTGAACAGTGATATGGAAGCAGAAGCAAAATAAATCCTTTCCTCCCCAAATTGCTCTTGGTCATAGTATTTCATCATGGCAGTAGAGATGCTAACTATTCACTGGAGACCTATTCCTTAGGTTCAGCAGCTCTGCAACAAGTTTTCAAGCCAGGGTGAAAGCCAGAGACTTTGGGTAGCCAAAAGCATGTCTCCAAGGCTCTCATTACCCCAAATTATGGGACTTGGGAGCCACTGCTTTTTGCAGACACATAATGATCCTAGTTTCACCCCAAGAGGGAACCTATGAATTTTCAACAACACAGTTTTAGTGGGAAAGGAAGAACAAAATCCTCAGTTGGATTTCAAATCCTCAAACTAGTTCAAGGTAAAAAGGTCTCAGGACAGTTTCACATTGGTGCCCAAGCAGGCGTCCCTAACCTTGATTTCCCTGTACCCACAGCCTCTGTGCTGCCCAGGTGATGCTCCTAGAGAAGCTGCTGTCAAATAAAATAAGAAGGGGAAGAAAAAAGGGAAGGAGAGGGAGAAGGCCCAAGCAGCGAAAGGGGCTTTCTACAGACCCTGGCAGGATTCCAGAGCGCCAAGTTTGCTTGCCTCTCACTCCACAACAGTCTCTGTCATTGGAGTTGAAGCCCAAAGCGGAGACTTGTGACAAGTGGTGGAAGTAAAGGATCTGATTACCAGATGATGCTGGCACCGTGCTGATCAAGGGGGAAAACTGATGTCTCCAAGTCTGGACCTCAGTTAGTGAGGCTGTTCTGTAGTGAGGAATCACACCACAGGAAAAACCGCACCAGCAGAACGAGACTGGCTAGAAAGCAGGCCAGAAACACAGGCGGGCGCTTCAGACAGAAGGCAGGGTACCAAGAGGGCCATTCCTGGGAAACTAGGGTGAGAGGCGTCTCGGAAGGAGACTGGTGATCAGAGCAAAGCAGTCATTTGGCATCAGCAGCTGTTTCCCGTGTTCGTAGTAAAGGATGCTACTGTCTAACACTGAGCCAAGACTTTGGTCATGCCATCAAGATAACATCCCTCCTTTACCTGAGCGTTGTGCAGTCAGATGTCTTCACTCTGATTACCCAGTGCTACAAAAGTGATACTGTAGCCGCAGATCCAGTGTTCTCACTGGGTCTTTTGTTTGTTTGTTTACTATAGCAAGGTTAGTGTTTCTAAATGGATGCCAGCTTGTTACCTGGCATGAGGGTCACACGTTCTGCCTCACCAGCCAAACAGAGAAGAGAGGCCCAGCACAGAGAAGGAAAATCTTCTGTGTGGGGCTGCACAGCACAGTGGGGCTGAGTCAGAACACAAGCTCTGCTCCCACCGTTGTCTGTTAGCGTCCACTTCCGCCCAGAGCACTCCAGTGCCTAACTGGAGGGCACTGACCCTCCCTCCACTCCCACAATAGACATGTGGTCCATCACTCTAGCCTCATAAAGGCAAGGTTTGCAGCCTCAGGTATACATGCGGATTAGGCTGAAATACATTTAGCCTTCCCAGTTGTGGGTCGCTTGATGTATCTCATCCCACCTTGGGCCTCAGTGTCCCTGATGGTGCAGCTGCCATGCAGGTGCCTTAGACACAAGATGAGATCACATATGTAGCCAGCTAACACAGTGTCGGTTTCTGGCACAGCATATTAAATTCAAAGCTGTTATTAATATTCAAGTTAAACACCAAGTTTTAGAGAAAATGTCATTCCTGGTGGCAGAAAGAGGCCACTCTCTTCAGAACCTCACATTTTTAGCTATTTAATTGGCAATCTTTCTAAACACATTACATTGAGAACTGGAACGCAGCCTGCTTTTAATTGCCACAACTTCCCTTTTCTTGGCCACCCAGAGGCAGCACTCTGAACACAGGGCCGCTGTGATGTACTCAAGGATGCTCCTAGGGCCCGCTCAAAAGACTGACAGTCTTTGAACATCGTGTATCGCTTGCAGCCTGGTAAGCAGAAGCATCCTAGCAGTGAGGAGGCAGAAGCAAGAAGACAATTTGAGGCTAGCCTGAGCTACATAGTAGCCTATCTCAAAAAAGAACGACAATTGTTCAATGTCTTGACAAGAGGGGCCTCAAGGAAAACACAGAGATGGGGAGACCCTGTGACCATTTGTGCCAATTTCGAGTGAGAAAGACTTGGCTCCTTTAGCAATGGGACCCCACTAAAAAGCTGGGCTGCAGAAACACTGAGATTGTCACTGGCTTCTCTGTAGCTATCCCCCACCCCGACTTGAGTACAGGTGTACCCAACTGCCAGACGCTGCTCCTGGGGTACACTTTGAATAGAGCCATCATGTAGCATGGACAAGGATCCCTGTCTGGACTCAGAAGGCAGTAGGTACAGGGGGCCACCCATTGGTTCCCTCCCTTCTCATCTGCAGTAATCTTGCTTACATCATCACCAAACAGATGTACTTCCCAACACCCACTGCCCTGCAAGACTCACTTCTAAAGGCACCTGCCGGCAGACACACAGGGGAGCCACTGGAGTGGCTTGGCAGTTCCTTAACGTCAACTTTAGTTTTCCCCCCAAAGCTGGGCTTCATCCAAGTAGGAAAGTGCTGCACCTGTGCCTCGGTACATTCAGCAAACACTTCCTGAACACCTCACCTGTGCTGAACGATGCTCTGACTGCTGTATGCAATGTTAATTGAATACATTTTCTGGAGCCAGGACAACCGGGTTTCAAACATGCCTCAACCACTTCCTAGCCAGGTGAACCTCCAAGGCGTAGTTAAACTAACCGAGCCTCAGTTTTCTTATCTACAAAATGGGTTGACTCCCTATTTGGATTCCTGTGAGATCATAAGCACATCTACTGGTTCCTGGTATAGGCTGGCTGTGCTCTCTGTGAGCAGGAAGGGCATAGATGACACATCATGTGGACACTTTGCAAATCAGGGATTTCTTTGTTTTCATCTTGCCTTGGAGCAAGATGTATCACTTCTCTCAAACTGACGTACTCAGAGCTTGTAACAGAGAACCTTTATTGACAACTCTACAGATTTGGAAATATCTAAGAGACCCCGTGAAGGTATTTCCAGAGGAAACTAACTTAAAAAGGCTCACCCTGGATTCGGGGAACACCATCCTACGGACTGGAGCTTTGGACTGAATGAAAAGGGGAAACAGGAAGCAAACTGAGCACAGCGCCCATCACTCCTGGGTCCCCGCTGTGGGTGTGATGTGCCAGCTGCTCACACCACGACCAGCACGACTTCCCAGAAAAACACACGTGAAAACAAAGTTGCATTTTGTCTGGTATTTGGTTGCACTGATTCGGAAAAACTACTCCTGCAAAAGTCAAGGTTTTCCCCAGTTTGGAAGAGAGTGAGCGAGCACCATCTGCCAAGAGTGGCGGTGGCACCAAAGGCACTGCACTGTTTGTGAGGGGCTCAAACGGAATCCATGAGCTGCGGAGGGTCACGTGTCACAGCATCGTGGGAAAAGCCATGAGGCTGTGAGAAGGACTGGTTGAACAATAGCCACCACAGTGCTGCCAGACCCTGGGAAAGGGGCTGGACACTTGTCACTGGGTCCTGACAGACCTACCTGCTCAGGGACGCTGACACTTTCCCATGTCGCCAAGGTATAAAGCAAACATAATTTCACAACCGTATTAGGAAAACCAAAATAAATATGCCAATATAACACGTGCTACCTTTGCAGGGCTGTGCTTGGTCGGAGTAAACCTCACACCCCACCCCCTCCCCGTTCTTCCAGTCTGTGGGGCCAGGCTGGCCTGGGACCCTGTACAGAGAATGCTGGGGTTGGGCCTGGGAACAGCCCCAGAGCCACACAATGGTGGCATTGTATGTTGGGAACATGAACAAGTTACAGGTGGGTGTGCACAGCAACTCCAGGAGTTTTGAAACCCTGCCTTTGGAAAGAAATAGAAAAAAAAAATACTAGGCTGCTGAAGGTGTTGGGAGGGACTGGCCACATCTTAAGGATGAGCACACAGGTGTCTGCTTTCTTCATACCCAGTTAAGGCCCAGGACCAGCCTGCCTACACTCTGCTCTCCCACAGCACTCGGTGCTCTGGACCCCACTCCCCAGGATTCAGAGCACTTCCCCCAGTGTGTTAGGGGCATGCATCTCAACACAAGGCCTACTGTGTGCGAGGTGAATTATGACTGTGGTCTCATCTGCAACCTTCCCCATGGCAGCAGCAGCAGACAGGAAGTCTTCCTAGTTGGCTAGAGTTTTCCAAACATGTAAAACACTTCCTGGCACACAGTAGGAGCTCACTGAATTATTGTTGAATAAATAACAGCCCATATGCATCGTCTGTGGTAATCAATCTTCATCCCCTTGACTGGGGTTGAGAGCACCAGGAAAACACACCAGAGTTTTCAGAGTGGTTTAGAGGAAGAGGGAAGACCACTCTGGAATACCGGCAGCACGATTCCACGGGCTGGCATCCTGGACTGAATAATGCGAATGTGAGCCGCTCACCAGCATCAATGAATTACTCTGTGCTTCCTGATACAATGTATCCAGCTGCCTCCTGTTCCTGTCCCAGTAAAATACCCTCAAATCTGAACCCATATAAGCTTTTCTCTGAACCCATTTCCCTTGGGTACTTTTGAGAAAAGTAACCAGCATAAAACCTGAAAAGAAGGAAACAGGCTCTGAAAGACCACGTTCCCTCAGTCTCACACAGCCAGTGGCAAGTAAAGCTCTGGTTGACCCAAGAAGCCCAAAAGGTAGACTGAGTCTGCTTATCTCCCAAGGGCCCCCCAGGAAGGGAAGTCACATAAGAATGGATGCTGTAATTTTTACTGGACACTTCCAAATAAAATCAGGTCCCTCATCAACCTGAGGATGCAGATCTGAACAACACAGCCCAGAGGCTCCAAGAGAGCCAAGTGTCAGCACCTAATAGAATGTCTTGGGCGTCTTCTCCCTTTTCCGAAATCCACAGGCCGGCTCTCTCTCAACCACTATTGTGACATGACGGGTAGATCAAGTCCTCCCAGCAGGCAACGCAGGGCAGCAGGGCACAAACAGCATACCCCTCCTTTTAACAACAAATATCAATGGACCCATCTGGTAGGGCAGCCTCACGCAAGGGTGGTGACAACCCGGATACCACACAGACCTCTCTATCAGTCTCAGACTTGTTAGGCAGGAGGTTAGCTCTTTAGCTCTGAGAGGGACTGACCAATGAGACACACACCCCCAAAGAAGTTATGAACAATAGAAGATAGTGCTGAACTCCAGCTGGGTCACATCAAACTGGCTTCGGGGACTTCCTCATCAGGAGAACAGGTGGAGAGAGAGAGAGAGAGAGAGAGAGAGAGAGAGAGAGAGAGAGAGAGAACTGTTACTGTTACATTTTTTTCCTTTTCTTTTCTTTTGTTGATTTTTAACCCTTCCTTCCTTAATTTGCTTCTTTTTTAAGAGCACACTGTCATTGTCTTCAGCCCCACCAGAAGAGCATCAGACTCCATTACAGATGGTTGTGAGCCACCATGTGGTTGCTGGGAATTGAACTTAGGACCTCTAGGAAAACAGTCAGTGCTCGTAACTGCTGAGCCATCTCTCCCACCCCACTGTTTTCTTTTCTACAAGTGAACTTTCTAACCACAGGCATACTTGACTCCCTATACATGGCCTTAAATCTTACATGACTTGGACTGAATTCTGGGTAAAATGGGCTTCCAGGAAGAATATGTCTCTTTCCTTGGAAGTACCTTACCTGGAAGAGACACAAGGATCAGCTGACAGAGATAGGAGAGATCTAAGCCCCAAGCCCACCAGGCCACCGCTGCTTGGTTCAGCCCATTGTTTCTAAAGAGATTGCTCAATGGTTAAAGCACTTGTTCTT